TTTCTCTTGTAAAATAGAGGGTACTGGAAAAGAATCAATCCCGATTAATGATCTTCTGCGGACAGCAGAATATAAAAGCCAGTTTTAATTCATGTAGCGAACCCTTCTTTGTTCCACTTTCAAGACATTTTAATCTGATGTGTTCGACCGAATAGATAAGCAATAAAGAAATATGCGTAACACCAACGCGTTGTTAATACTAATGCAATCCAAAGCCTTTGGCTCACAATGTGCTGATCATAAAAGATTGAGAAATGAGTCCATCCACATTCCAAGATCTTTTGCTGAAGAAAACCGTAAGAAATCCTTTCCCTTTAACAAAATAGGAAAACTCTCAGGTATTTTTTGTATCATTTTATAAGTTCCAAATAACAGTAACTTGATCATATCGGTATTGATTAGAAGACGATTATGACAGCACCAAGCAGCAACATTTCATAGATCTTCAGTAATTAAATGTGCCGCAGTACCAGCAGAGGCGATTGGAAACGAGAGATAAATATAACAGCTCAATTACTCCCAAGAAGCAGGCTGGTGCAGAGGAGGCGTGCTGGGCCCACAAACCAGAGGTCAATGGATCGAAACCATTTCCTGCTATCATCTTTATTATTGCTTTGCACTTTACATTCTAGTTTTCTGTCTCCATTTCTTCCTTTTCTGTCTCCATTTCTTAGCGCGTTCTGTGTCACGACGTGCCCTCGCGGCCCAGTTGATAAGCGCGTCGTACTTATAAGCAGTACAGGAGTATATGCAAATGTCGAGGGTTCGATCGCCTCCGGGAGCAAGTTTTTAGCAGTCTTCCCTAACGGTGATATAGCGTATACAGTAGGCTTTGGTGTCTGAATATTATTGCATTGAGTTGTTAAAGTCCGCACGAAAGGGGTTCGGGTCCTTCCCTAGTTAAACATTTTTCAATAATATTAGTCGAGTTATCAACATATATCAAGAATAAAAGAATGTTTCTCATGCCGTCTCGAAGATTAGCCGAAAATGTGAAAAACATTGAATCCTAATGAGCCCAGCACGCTTCCACTGCACCACCCTGCTTCTTTACTGCAATATATCTGTTTTTTTATATGTAATGAATCTAGAAATTTGAGAAAGCAATATATGCCTGCAGCGGAGAAATCAAACGAAGAAAATTAAAATTTACCAATTGCAAATGAATAGGCCCTTAGAATTTCATCGACATTTTCTCTTGTAAAATAGAGGGTACTGGAAAAGAATCAATCCCGATTAAAGATCTTCTGGTGACGGCAAAATATAAAATCCAGTTTTAATTCTTGGAGCGAATCCTTCTTTGTTCCACTTCCAAGACATTTTTATTTGATGTGCTCGACCGAATAGATAAGCAATAAATCAATCTAAGTAACTGTGACGTGAAGCCAGTTACGTCATAAACATTCTTAATTTAAGACATTACGTAATTATGCTAACTCATGTTTTGCTATATTTATCTTATACGTCATATCTAAAAATAGCGTTTATGTAATGTTCTATAAATAGCTATCGAATAGTATATAAGCAGAATAGTTAAAAAGTTTAAGTTAATTAACATATAGTTGAAGAGAAAGAATTAAAAGGTTTAGAAACGGTTGTTGTTGTTGAAAAACTTATATAAGACTCAGAAGAAGTTATTCCAAATACAAGAAAGCCTCCTTGGCCAGCGCGTGTCGCTGTGTCTGGTCAAGGAGGGCAACGAGCGTAAACGATGAAGATGCAGACACACATTTTTGTTCGTTCTCGCCCGCGAACGTAACAGTAACACCAACGCGTTATAATACTAATGTAATCCAAAGTCTTTGGCTCATAATGTGTGCTGATCATAATTGAGAAATGAGTCCATCCACATCCCAAGATCTTTTGCTGAAGAAATAGTCCAGTCAATCTCTGACCAGAGGTCAACGAAATTGCAATAGAATTTTTCGCAGTGGTAAAATGTGAGCGAAGGTGTCTGTCCTGATTAACATACTAAAAATCCCAAAAAATCCCTTCGTTGGAACATGGTGAAAATCAAGTTTTTCTTACTTATGCCTATAGAAAACCATTGTGGACAGAATGTTCAAATTTTGAAATCATTTTTAGGAAAATGTAACCTACATTATTGGAAAGCTTAAACAAAACTATATTAAGGTCAATTAAACCGTTATATTCAATTTACTGGTCAGATTTAGGTTATTCTACCTCAAAGTTCGAAAAATAGCGCAAAATTTGCACAAAATACAAATTAATGGCATGTCAAATCTTGTATAACTTCGGCAGGATAGGCAAAAGCAAGGTAACCGTCTAATGATCTATATTTTAGTTTTTTCTATAAGCTTTCCAATGATGCATGCAGGGACGCCGGAACGACAAAAAGGCAAAGGGGGGCAGACGCACACCAAGGCCACCTCTATAGACCAAAAGTTCAAAATCTACCTGAAATATTTTTTTACATGGAAATTTTTTGGGCGAGCCTCCCCCTCCCCCCCGTTGCCAGAAAATTTCGGTCAGTGTACCATTTTAGGGTTCAAAAATATTTTCCGGACATACCAAAATTTTCCGTGACGTAAAAAAATTTTTCTGCACATCAGCAATTCTCCTCATTTATCCAAAATATTTTTCAAAAATCAAAAAATTTTCTAAATTTTTTGTAAATTAACCTCATTATTCTCCAAATTCACACTTATTTTTGTAAATTAACTTTCTCTGGGCCTACAAATTACCTGAATCTCATGATTTTTCCCGAAAAAGTATCACTGGAAGTGTGATTTATCACGTAGTATTTTACAACCAAAAGGGCACTTCTGCCCCCCTGCCCCCTAGTTAAAGGCAACAGGGATAGCCGTCGCCCTGCCCCCTCCCAGTCCCGGCGTCCCTGGATGCATGTATATTTGCAAACAAATAATTTCAAATTTCAACATTTTTTCCGCAATGGTTTTCTATAGGTAGAAGTAAAAAAAAAATGATTATCACCATGTTCCACCGAAGAGAATTTTTGAGATTTTTAGCATGTTAATTTTAATCAGGACACCTTCCCTCAGATTTTACCACTGAGAAAAATTCTATTGCGATTACTGTGATCAGGACCATTAGTCTAGGACCTGTATATGAGTTTGTATGCGATTCATTTAGGACAGGTAATCTCAACTGTTTTAGGGTAAAATGACCATGGCGGTCAACATGGCATATGTGCGAAAACCAGAATCCGGGACGAAAGTCCTGAAAATGACCCCGCCCTGAAACGGCAGTGTCGACATAGCTCTAACTTCCAAAAAGGAAAAGCGATAGCCTTTCTGAAGGGCTTATAGTGTTTAGAAGGGTTGCTTTTAGGGGTGGTCATTGGACGGAAAAATTTGTCTAAGTATAATATTTTACCAGAAAATGACTATGCACCACCCCAGGTAAATTGCTGATTATGCACAAAATAACTAATATGCCTGGCAGAAATTAAATGTTCTTATTTCCTAAAAAAAATTATTATGGGGTGAAAAACTATGCTTAATTTAATATAAATATTGTTGATTTCATAAGGATTGTCATTGTTTTCTTTAAATATAATACATTTTATTTCACTTACACCCCACGAAAACATGATTTCAGCCATATTTTGCCGTCTTGTTTGCTTTTTATCGCCGAATCTCGCAAATATCATCCAGTTATTGTACTTTTACATAATTATAAATGGCTGAAGAAGATTTCAAAGAAGGTTTCATCCACTTTGGTAACAGTGCAGTGTATTTTATCTTCGATATTGTGTCCTTCGATATTTCGTCAAATTGCCGCCATTTTAATGGTTCGCCGCTTCTCTGCCCGATAAATGCCACTTCTTCGTTTTCATATGTATTTAAATTACATTATCCAAGAGTACTTCCTTGTAGAATAGTACCAATCCAAAAATTGAAAATATTATTGGTACTTGGGAGGAAAAAACTTCCCATAATAGTCGTCCTGTTTGAATTCAAAAGAAATAATTTAAAAGTCACGCGCAAGTTCGCGAGAACACCTCGTGGGTTACATAACAGGGGGGAGTGAATATTTTCACGAAACGTATGTTCGCCACCACAGGCCACAGCAACCTAACTAAGTACATTATATATATTGTATATTTGTGATTTATGATAAAAGCAATAAATATTTGCGTATCAATTATAAAAATACAAAAAATACAATACATTTAGTTAGGTTGCTGTGGTGGCAAACAAACGTTTCGTGAAAATATTCACTTCCCCCTGTTATGTAACCCACGAGGTGTTTTCGTGAACTTGCGCATGACTTTTAAATTATTTCTTTTGAATTCAAACAGGACAACTATTATGGGAGATTTTTTCCTCCCAAGTACCAATAATATTTTCAATTTTTGGATTGGTACTATTCTACAAGGAAGTACTCTTGGATAATGTAATCTAAATACATATGAAAACGAAGAAGTGGCATTTATCGGGCAGAGAACGGCGAGCCATTAAAATGGCGGCAATTTGACGAAATATCGAAGGACACAATATTGAAGATGAAATACACTGCACTGTTACAAAAGTGGATGAAACCTTCTTTGAAATCTTCTTCAGCCGTTTATAATTAAGTAAAAGTACAATAACTGGATGATATTTGCGAGGTTCGGGGATAAAAAGCAAACAAGACGGCAAAATATGGCTGAAATCGTGTTTTTGTGGGGGG